AGAACATGGGTCCTATGGCTTCTTGAAGAAAAAGGATTTGGCTCAAGATAGCAAATAAATTTAGGAAACACTGCAACCCTATCCTAGAAGGTTCATAACATATATTAACTTTCAAAGCTCTTTGTAGCTCATCTGGCAACAACTCTAATTCACTTAAACATCATATTCCTCAAACCTATTTGACCACAGAATGCATTTTCTACTTAATATCCATGAATGTCTTGAGGCTCCAGTATTCTGTGGAACACTTTGAGAAACACTGACTTATGGGACCTCTAACTATCAGAAGTGTCACACTAATTTTCAAAACAAAACTTTAATTCATTTTAGTTTTTGGAACTTTAAACTTCAAAACAATTTGGAAGATGCGGGAGAGCAATGTTCTTACATCAAATGAACACATTCACAAAACCAGCGTGAAGTGGATGATGTCTCTTACAAGGTGGGGAATCTCCATCTTGGAATGAAAAATCCAGCGTTAAAACCTGAATCTCCAAGTTGGGAAGAGAAAGTCTGCAAACATCCCTCTACCTGCCCCAGGAACAAGGCAGAACCCTGGCCCTTCTCTCCAGCAACAGCACAGAGGCAGGTCCCGACAAGCCCCTTCTCCAGTCTCTATGAAGAAAGGGAAGCCGTGAGAAGCACAGGTGTCACCTGGGGAGAGACTGTACTTAAGAAAACGTTACTTAGGAGATGTTGAAGAGTGAGCATTAGGAACCCTGGGAAAAGAAGCATCTAATGGGAGCTTAGAATTTACAAGGGTTTCCAGGAGTAATTCAGGTGATTTTCACCCCATTTATTCACGTTCCACGTCAGCTCTGTGGCCAAAGAAACCTTCCAGAAAGTCATCTATAAATGCAACTGTTTAAAGTGACAGTCACTCAAGGCTCTGTCCCTGTGCCCCAGAGGGCAGCATCAATACCAGTGTTTTCTAGGGAAAAGAATGTATGTATGGAGTGTAACCAGGCTCTGCATAGAAAATGCCTTTTCACAGCTGTGTAAATTTTCCTTTACTGTTGTCAACACTAAAAAGATCCAGACAGCCATTCTCTCAATGAATGACAGTTCAGACTTCAGGTTTTTTGAGGTAAGAATAAAGATCCTGCAGATGCATAATTCTCAAGATGAACATATTGTGACCACAAACTAGACTAGAGCCCCAAGTGCACATAACAGAGTGTGTTCTCCATGCAATACTCACGGATTTGTGTTCATCATACGTTACACTGCCTAACAGAGAAGTAGCTACCTTAAGGGGAAAAAAGCATGACACAAATAGCCTACTTTGCCTATTCGGTTGGAATTAATCCTATTCCCCAACACGAATGCGTAAGAGAATCACAGCATTCAGATATCCGTTCAACAGGAATCAGAAACGTGCCTCCTTTCGGACAGCAGCCTCAACAAAACCTAAACGGGCTCCAACACCAGGACCTGCCGTGTCCACATCCATATCCCACGGTTTCTGTAGAGTTCTGTATCACCACGTACCTCTTACCAGGGCCACTTCACAGACAGAATGTTAGGTTTCGGGTTTACAATTACATCTACTATGCACTTCTGAAACTATGATTCTATCCTCATCTGGCAAATGACAAACCTACTATTGCGAGAGTCACTGGTGATGTGGCAGAGGCAGGGAGAAAACTACCCCTCTGCTCTCCAGCTGGGCCTTTTCTGGTTGATGTTTTCCAATCTTTATTGCAAAGTATTTTAAAACTAAGTATGGGGCTGCTCCCTAATGGGGTCTCCAAATGCCAAAAGATGAAGATAAATGAAAGAGCTTGAGAACTTAGGCATCTTTTGACCTCAAAATGACAGCGAGGCTGAGGCTGCCTACACTCTGAGGAGACACACATCAGACCCAGAAGCTCAGCCTTACAACCACCACACTGGCTCACAGACATCTCTGCTGCCAATCTGAAAGGACGTGCACCAAGCTTTATGAGAGAAGACAGTGCCCTTCACACCCCAGTAGCTGTCTCTCATAAAAAGGGATGGTTATTTTTTTTCTTTTCCAGATGGACCCATAGGTCAAAGGATTTTACACATGGTCTAAGATGAATGACGTGTGTGAAACACCCAGCCCTCCAGAGAAGCACCTCTCCACAGCTCTCTAGCAAGATGGTCTGTCAACTGGACAGAGCTGCTCCATTAACTCCACAACTAAGGGGCTCTAATTTAGGGTCACATGACCTTCCTGTTAAGCCAGGGAGGGAGTCTGGAGAATACCACGACTACTAGTTTAAAAAAAAAGAAAAAGGAAGGAAGGAAGGAAAAAAGCTTTACCAAAAAAGTCATTATAGAACAAGTCTTGGGAAGCTGGGGTGCTTAATTTGGGAGAAGGGAGGTCTGAGGTGGTGACTTCAGGCCTGTTTTGTGAATTCAGGAGAGTCACAGGTTTAAAACTAAAGAATATACTTCAGGACATCTATGTTCCTGGCTTTTTAGATAAGCAATTCATTCCAAAGCAATATGGAAATCCTAAACTCAGAAACCAGACTCTCTCAAAGCCCCCGTTGTCTTTAGGATGTTTCCTCTCTTGCTCTGATCACACTGAGCTGATTTACCTTTGAGAAATTTTGAAATCTGGTGACTTTTCATTCTTAAATGAAGAAATATCTTCTCAAAACAATCTCCCCAAAATGTTCAGAGAAAAAGGTGACTAAATGACCCTATGGTTAGGACAAAATAACAAAACATATTATCCCCAAAGTAGTTCTTTATCATCCAAATAATAATTCATTAAATATGCTTTTAAAATATATTTACATTTCCCTCAAAATATTTTTTTAAAGATTTTATTTATTTATTTGATAGAGAGAGAGCAATCACAAGTAGGCAGAGAGACAGGCAGAGAGGGGGGGGAAGCAGGCTCCCCGTCGAGCAGAGAGCCCCGATTGGGGGGGGGGGGTTCGATCCCAGGACCCTGAGATCATGACCCAAGACGAAGGCAGAGGCTTAACCCACTGAGCCACCTCCCTCAAAATATTTTTATACAAACTTTTAGAATAATACATACACAAGAAAGGTCTGCTATTCAACTACACTTGAAAAAATAGGCAAGAACTGACAGTACGTTTTCTTCTGAACTACCTCTTCTCAATGAATTAGAAAGTGGCCTCCTCACAACTACACCAAAATTAAAACTTACTTGTGTCATTAGAAGCCACAATCACATTCCACTTCTTAAAGGAAGACAAACTATTTATTCTTCTAAAAGCCAAATATCTACCTTTCTCCAGGCCAGTCTTCACCAGTCTGCGTGCTGGTACGAGACTGAACTGGCGGGCAAGCAAGCGTGTCACCCTATTTAGCTTCCATTAGAGTCTTTTTACCATCTCAAGGGCTATTAAATGACTGAAAACAGACGTCTGGGTTCCATTAGGGGCCTGCTGGTGCCTGGGAAAGCTGAGAAGCCTTAGCATCACAACACTCTTGACACTCCCCTTTCTACAACTACCCAGTGAGCTGCACTGAGCTCACCACAGGAGACCCTTGTAATTCCTTCCCCGGGGCAGAGGGTTAAACAAGGCTCAGGTTTTAATGGTTTTGAATCCCATTTCCTCTTTATATCATTTAAAGAAGGGTGTAAGTGGATTGCGAGATGTTTTTAATAGAGGATCTGGGGCACAGAACAGAGCGCTAGAACATGGGTAGGGTCTGAGGGTACAAACCTGTCAGCAGAATACCCCAGTGCTCATCTTACTTCTTAAGGAGAATTTTAAGGCAAGCCTGTGCATTATCTGCTACACTGGCTCCAGTTCAGAGCACTTTCTATTTTTTCCTACCTAGAGATAATTAGAGAAAACTATCACAGTTCAAGCCATTCAAGAAATATGGATTCTGGGTCCAGCTGTGTGACCTTTGGCAAACTACTTAACCTCTCTGGGCTGTCTGCTTATTCATGTGTCAGTCAGTATGTTTACCTAATTAAACTGTACATATTTCAGCCCACTGCAGTTTTACCAAGCACTTTCACATACTTCAGTGCATCTGATTCTTATAATAACCCTGTATAGTAACAAGAGGGCGATTATTCTCATTTCATAAAACTGGAAACTGAGGTTCAGAGGCTAAGTGACACATTCCTAACAGCAGCCAGAAAGTAGCAGAAGTGGAACTGAACCCTTGATTTCTGATTCCAATAAAATGTCTTTCTTATCATATCACATTGTGTGATCTTTCTGGTTCCAACATTATTAAAATGCCACAATTTAGAAAATCTCTGCTCCCATTCACAACCCACGTCACTGTTTGGAACCTGACCTCAGCCACTTATGCTTCAGGGACAAGAAGCATAGGAGCAAGTGCCCTCTTTCTCTCTCACGTAAAAACTGTCTCCAATTTAATTCTTTTGCTCTTTTAAACATGTAGATGTTAAACACTAATAAAGATGATTAGTACCATGGTGAAGAATCTAACAGATCTTGCTTTTGGTGGAAATACTCATGCATGAAGGAATCCAGAATATACATTCTACAGTTAAATTAGAAGTACCTGCAAATTGTTACTTTACTGGAAAAAAGAAGAAGAAACCATAACATCGACGATCGACAATGGCAGTATTGGACTTGGGAGGCTAAGAATGTCCTCTGGGACGATGGGTCCTCTGGCTGGGTCCTTAACTTTGACGTTCATGTGATCTAAGGTCCCCCTTCCTCCCCTTCCATTCTATCCTCATCCATCCATCAAGTAGGGAGACCTGTGTCATGGGTAAGAAAGAATGACTGGATACAAAGGAGAATAAAATCTCTAAATGTGTGCATGTTCTCTTTACTGGCAGTAAAATTCCTGAGCTGTCAGCAAATTGTGGGGAGGGGCACCTGATGGCCCTGTCTGACTTGGGAGAGGAAACGGTCGGGAGCCACGTTACTGTGTACCAGTGCTCCATGGTCCTCAAATTCTCAGGGTGGAGTAAAGTTCAAAGTAAATAAAAGTCAGCCTCCCCGCCCATCACTCCCACTTTGTTATCAAATGCCATAGCACTGGGCACTGACCTGCTTTGCCCACTTCCCCTTTCCTCAGTGATTCTTCAGCCTGGCACCCAGCTCTGAGATGAGGCCTGCTTAGCACCAGTGAAGTTCCCCACGTTCAAACCAACAACATTCTGTGTGGACATGAGGGAATCAAAATTAAAATCCAACCCATCAGCATCCATGAGTTCGCTACGGATAATGGACTCCATGTCACATTCCAAGCTCCCATTGAACATGTCCAGGTCCAAGTCGCTGGGGAACTTCTCATGGCCCATGACGGGAAGGTTTGCACTCGCAGAGTACAAGGAGGAGCCTGAGAGAGAGTCCGAGAGGGTTTGCATAGACTGGCTGACAGGAGACTGTTGCTGGTGTTTAACTGACCCAAGACTGCTGGAGTCGCTCAAGCCCATGTTGCTGACAGAATTCGACAAGGCACGGCTACCACCGAGAGCGCCCTGGGTTTGGTGCTGGTGGTGGAGCAAGTTCTGATTGACTAAACTCCCCTGGTTAGGCTGGGCGGCAAAGGACATCATTGGGTCATTTCGAAGCATCACGTTCCGGCGGGAGTTCTGGGCAGACACAGCGGTGCTGGCCTGAGACATCAAGGGGTCTGACTGGGTCATCATGACATCGCTGTGGCTGAGTGAATCTGAAGTGAGCAGGTCCTGGAGTGTCTGGTTGCCATAGTGTGACATGGACGAGAAAGTAGCTGGCTTGTTCTCTTGGATGGTCTGCATGGGAGACTGGCGCAGGGAATTCAGAGATGAGGGTCCAAACACCGTGCTGTTAAAGGAGCCAGTTGGAGAAGCCAGGCCGGAGCCCTTGGTGGTGTACGGGAAGCTAGAGCTTCGCTGCATGAGCCCTCCAGTGGGCGATGGCTGGGACGATGGGAGCGTGATGTTATCCAGTAGGTCATCCATGAGGTTGTCAGACAGCCCATCATTCAGATTCATGGTGCCCGCCATGTCGGTCAGCCGTGGTAGCTCCACAGTGCATGGCTTACTTACAGAGGGTGAGAGGCTAGCTGAGCTGTAGATCATGGGGGAGAGCGGTGCGTCATCATCCTGGACGTCATCCAACTCTGTGCTTGCCAAGATGGGGGACAGGCGGCCACTGACAGTGCTGGCGTTGGAATTGGTGCGCGAGCGGAAGTCCGTCCACGCATCCAGCTCATCGCTGCTGCGTGACGTGGGGCTGCCTGGCCACTTGGAGAGCTGGGAAGGACTGTCATCGGCTGACTCAGGGGCTGTCTGCAGGGCGGCCTTCTTCTTGGCTGCGCGGCCACGGCTCTTGGTATACTTGTTGCTGTTGTCCATGGACACAGCCCGCCGCCGGGGCGCCTTCCCACTCTTTCCCCCATCAGGGTTGATGATCCACCAAGAGCTCTTGCCGGTCCCCTCATTCTGGACCCGCATGAACCGGCTGTGCAATGACAGGTTGTGTCGGATCGAGTTCTGCAGAGAGAAAGGAAAACGCAGGACATGAGACAAAATGGCCCAAAGCTTAGGCACCCAGAAGAGGCAGTTAATCAGACTCGTTTTGGGTGGGGGCACGCCTTAATTTTGGAGGTTAAGAAAAAAAGACAAACATTTGGATGAGACACCCCCATCCAGGTTGGAATTCAATGACAACACTGTAAATGGCCAAGTTTGGTATTTAGGAGGTGGGAGATGGTTTCATATCCAGGAGAAGCTGGGAAAGTATAAGCTCAATGATGATGTTTTCCCCAAATTCCTAAATTTCTATAATTCTATTTCCTATACCGAAGTTCATACTTTAATTACCACAGCACTCTCTCCCTGCACTTTGCAACAAACCTCCCTGGCTCTCTACGGGTAATTAATCACTTGGAGCTCATTTTATTCTCTCATACTTTCCTCCTCCACTACTGTAAAGGCAGCATCTACCTTTTCTTAACCACGTCGATAAACTCAGAACTGGTGTGAATTGTTACAGATCCTTTCTATGACTCCACCTCTTCCTGCCATAATTTCACACCTGTCCAACAGGCATAAGAAAAAAAATGGTAGAGCAGGATTTGCAGAGTTGACAGAAATAGGCAAATCTTCCATTCAGAACAATTCCAAATAATTTATATAGATACTCCCCCCTCAAGGCAATGGTCTGAGCATAGTAACTTCCTTCCAAAGAGTACAGTATGGAAAGGAAGGGAAAAGATAACTTTACAGGGAGATGCAAACACTGTCTCAGGTGATCAAGGTCAGCATTAATATGGCTAAGTCATGCTGATAATACGCATTCTTGACGTGATGAAAATGGCACTCTCTTTTGTAGTCTTTCTTCTAAAACCCATCACCACAGTCTAATTATGAGAAAAACATCAGACAAGTTCCAATGAAGGGACATTTAAAAAAAATGCCTGCCCATTCAGTACTCCTCCAAACAGACCCATGAGGAACCTAAGGAAGAATGATGATTAAATGTAATGTGTGCCTTGGATGGGATGCTGGGCAGAAAAAGGAGGTTAGGTAAAGAGGAAGGAAATCTGAATAAAATATGCTCAGTTAATGAACATAATAACTGATTAATATGTTAATTATTAATCAATGATTAATATGTTAATCATTAATATGTTAATGATAATGTATCGATATTGGCTCATTCGTTGTGACAAATGTACCAAGCTAACTTTAGATTAAGATAAGATGTTAACAATAGGGGAAATTTGATGCTGGGTATATGAGAACTCCCTGTACTAGTTTTGCAACTTTTCTGTAAACCTAAAACTATTCTATATTAAAGGGTTAAAAAAAAAAAAGAAAGAGGGCAAAATATCTTCAAAATCCTAACAACTGCAGCCATCTTGCAAGATGCTCCTCTTGGCTTGGTAGATAAGTCTGGTTGGCTGGGATGACCCAGATCCAGTCCTATCTCCGTCACTGATCAACCATGTGACCTCGAGCAAATCATTTAACCTGTCTGCAACAACTTTACTTCTCTACCTTCATTATAGCCATAATAACATCCAAACTATCCCTCCTGACAGGGATGATGTAAGAATGATACAGGATAATATACTTCAGGAACCGGTCATGCTACCAAGTCAGGGTGTTCTCACTGCTATTATAAAACACAGAGTCCGTGATGAGAGAGCTCATTCTAACCCATAAAATGCCTCATGTGCAGTCAAAGAGAGGAGCTGATGGCATCCCCCACATCTGCAACAGCACCTACAGGCCAGATGAGTTTTTATTTGCAAGTTAAGGACAAAAGGTATTGCTTGATGCTGTGTATTAAATACAAACAATCCTAAAAGTTACCATAGTTTTTAAAAAATTGGCAATCACCAACTGTATTTATGTAGAAAATGCAAATACATGTGTTCTCCCAGAATGTTTTTAAAACACAGAAAGTCAGCGGGATTTTACCATAAGTAAATAACCCAAAATACTCAGTATTTCCCATGTATAAGTTCCCATGCAAGGAGGGCCTACAGCTCTGGTTGGGCAATGAGCATTTACAATCATGGGTTGTATGTTGGCATTTCCGTGATGGCCATAAAGACACATTTGAGAGAAAAAAAAAGGGGAACATGCTGAGGATCTGATGAGACAAAATGTTGCTCTGGAGACTATATACTCTGATTCCCCTTTACTCTTATGGCTTTTGAAAGAATAATGGCATCTCTGCTGATGGTTCAGAAATCACATTTCTTTAAAAAACAAAATACTTTATACATCAGATACGAAGCATTCTCTTAAAATTCACTGTAAAGTTTCAAAAAGCAGGCAATTGCAAGGTGGTTCTACCATCTGAGTACTCAGATGACTATATCTATTAAATAAAAAACTTAAACGTGAACTTCTTGATGAAAAAAACAGGAAGGTTCTGAAATTCCGTGGGAGCAACGAGCAACCGTGGCCAGCCCACTTGGCTCCAGATTTTGGAAAGAGTTCATACCAAAACCTAGGATCAACAATGACCAATCTTATGTGTTACCCTTGCCCCACTTAAAAAGCACTTAGGAGGGGTGCCTGGGTGGCTCAGTCGGTTGAGCATCTGCCTTTGGCTCAGGCCATGATCTCAGCGTCCTGGGATTGAGCTCCCATTTTGGGTTCCCTGCTCAGCACAGAGTCTGCTTATCCCTCTCCCTCTGCCCCTCCCCCTGCTCATATGTGCGCACACGTGTGTGTGTGCTCTCTTGCTGCCAAATAAATAAAATCTTTAAAAAAATAAAAATTAAAAAATTAAAAGCACTTAGGGAACAATACATATTTTTAAAAAGATATTATTTATTTTAGAGAGAAAACCCAAGTGTGGGGAGGGTGAGAGGGAGAGAGAATCTCAAGCAGACGCCCCACTGAATACTGAGCCCAGCGAAGGGCTCAATCCCAGGACCTAAAATCATGACCTGAGCCAAAATCAATGGTTGGACATTTAACTGTGCCATCCAGGTGCCCCAACAATATGTGTGTGTGTGTGTATGTGTGTGTATATATATACACACACATACACACACACATACATATATATATTTTAATGTATTTTTTGTTTCGAGAAAAAAAAAAGCAACACTTTATAGAACTCCAAAATGCCCTATGTGAATTTTCTAATGATCATCTATTACTACAACTCCAAACCTCAATGTATGTGAATATTTTGTGAAATTACAAGCTACAATTGGTTAAAATTTGGAGACAGAAATTAAGCCTCTATAAGGGCACGTGGTAAAGGGGCTGGAACACCCACAGCTAGGGCCAGAACTGCAGGGTGTCAGGACCCAGGTCCCTGATCTCAAGGGGTAAGAAATGAGAGCCTGCCTGATTAGAACACTGACAATTACTGGGCCATAACTTTCAGATCCATGGTCTCTAGTCCTCATAATAAACCTGCAAAGTTGGTATCAGTGCTCTCGTCGGAAATATGAACGCTCAGGCTGAGAGATATTAGGTAACTTACTCAAGGTCACGCAGCTAGTCTCCTTATAACCCCAAGTGAAATCTGTTTTCCAAACTCCAAAGCTTTTATTATAACTTTCCACAGCTTTGTCACCAAATTATTTTGAAGTCATTGTTTGAGCTATTCGTGCCAACACTTAAAGAAACCTTTAAGAAAGAAGGATATAAGAGGCACAAATTTAGGGGCGCCTGGGTGGCTCAGTGGGTTAAAGCCTCTGCCTTCGGCTCAGGTCATGATCCCAGGGTCTTGGGATCGAGCCCCACGTCAGGCTCTCTGCTCAGAGGGGAGCCTGCTTCCCCCTCTCTCTCTGCCTGCCTCTCTGCCTACTTGTGATGTCTGTCTGTCAAATAAATAAATAAAATCTTTAATTAAAAAAAAAGGCACAAATTTATTCTGCTCAGAGAAAAAGCTTCCTTTTGGGGGTGCTTGGGTGGTTCAATCAGTTAAGCGACAAGACTCTTGATTTCGGCTCAGGTCAGGATCTCAGGGTTGTGAGATGGAGCCCTGTGTCTGGGCTCTGCGCGGGGTGTGGTGCCTGCTTAGGATTCTCTCTCCCTCTGCTCCCCAAGCCCCTGCTCTCTCTCTCTCTTAAAAAAAAAAAAAAAAAAAAAAAAAAAAAAAAAAAAAAAAAGATTCCTTCCCAACAAAGAAAAAAAAAACCACACAACTTTATTACTATAACTTTGTTTATGAAGTAGAGATACTAATTTGATGGGTCTTTCCTAAATTTTTTTTAAGGAAGTTCTTTCAGAAGAACCCATCTGTAAGTGAAGGCTCACACTGCCCATGTCCATACTTGTTCTCTAAATGGCTTTAGCGGCATTCACTCCAGGAAGAGCACAGTGGCCACCATAAAAACAATGTTAACTGCCCTTAAATACTGAAATAAAACCTGACTTCTTAAATAGGTTATTAGCTTCAGTTTCTAGTCTTTGCTCGACTCCTGTTTTAGAGGTTAACAGCAGCCGAATGCATGCCCTAAGGCATGTTACCTGTTTTTCCAGTTACACTACTAAGACAACACAAAAACTGCCACCACCACCGTGACAGTTCCCTATTTCAGCAGCCTCTACCCATACAGGCTGGTCAGCTTTCCATTTACAAAATCCATAATGTGAAGATAGGTCACTGACAGAAGGCCAATGAAGAGGGCCCCTCTTTCCATTTCCCGTTCAAATGTCCCCTCAGCCTAACAAAGTCAGATGCTAGGAGTGTATTCTGGTTGTCCTCACAGGTCATGATTCTAATCACTAGTTCCCCTACCTAAATTTTGGAAGCAGGAAAAGGTAAATAAATAAATGCCAAATAAAATGTCAGAACTGTAATGTTTCCCCACACCTTCCCTGGTAACAAAAGTTAGTGGTGATATGATTTCCGTAAGGTTACAAAGCACCACTCCCTCATGCAGTCCCCAGAAAGAGAAGTGGGATTTATAAAAACAGACAAGCCAACTGTAAAATCTTCTTATGAGCTATCATTTAAGATCTCTAAAGATCTCTACATTAGGGTCTGTAAATTAGTTTCCGTTGTACTA